ATTTCTGATCGATTGGTGATAAAATTATTGAAATTGGACCAGAGGCAGCTGAGTTATTAACGTTCAAAATCTTTCTTAATTTGTTACATGTTCCATTTTCGGTTTTCACAAAGTGTACCCCTATATAGAAATCAAAGACGTAGTCCTACGTCAAAACAGAACGGACTCACCAGTGGATTTAGCTGCTGTTACTGGCGCGGTGACGATGCTACCTTCAATCGATGCGCGTTCGACCGTTGATGTTGAACGGCCAACGATTTCCACGTGGGTGGACGAACCACAAAGCCCCGCTCAGCGATGTATTTGCGGATCGCTTTCCACCGGACAAGGTGACGGTTGCCGGGATTTTTCGGCCCGGGGATGCAGATGATGACGTTGGAAACGTAAGCGTAGCCGTCGGCTGGTGAAAAGAACATTAAGCACAATGCACAGATTTTCTTTAACGAGCACATTACCTGGTCTAGCTTATTTTCCGCACACACAAAGTCGCACACTACGTATTGATTTATAATTTTAGCTAAACAATCAACGAGAAGAAATTAGAATTTAAGTATAAAAGTACAACCACGTTGCTTTCACTCACTTTACAAAACGAAACTATCACGCGAACAAAATGAAACACTTCCACTGCAATCTGCGGTTCGGACTAAAGTGAAGCGAAACCGTGACCTTCAGATTAGGGAAGGTGACGTCGGCCGAACTTAACGGAAGTTCGATTTTCCCGCGAACTTCTTCGAACTAGATCGGCAATGCGAGAGATTATTCCGATCGCTGGTCCTTCGTTCAAAGTCGGGTGTAGCAACACTCTCTCTTTTCCCAATTTTATTTTATTTATGACTAATTTACTATTTACAACATGGAGTGACTGTTACAACAGGTCTATTATGTTGCTTTAGGAATGGTAGCAGCCGCTTTTTCAGGCACTCGTGGACTAAGATCTCTTGATTGATAGTTCCCGTAGTAATGAAAACGCCGCTTTTTAGACCACACGTGCATAGGGTTTTTGATCTAATTTCCGTCCTACTAAGCACAACCCACGCTTTACCTCTCTTTTCTGAACGAATTTAAACAAAAAATGGAATATTTCTGTCAAAGATGACTTGAAAATTTATTCACCTTTCCATACGTATCGTTGGATTTGATAAAGAGTCACAAATTGATGAGATATTGTCTACAATCTAACACTGCTTCTTGATTCTAAATTCGTTCTACGAGTTTCAATTCCGTCCTAACGCATTGAAACGCCATTAGATTTTCTTCGTCCTACGGATAAACGTAGAAAAAGGGGATTCGCTAGGAGCGCTTCTTTTGTTTTGAGAACGATGAGCGTAAATATTCATACAATGCGCTCTAACAGGGTTTATGTTGTAGCTAATGAACTAGCGCATCGGAACAAACCTATTATTGATTTATGCACGGTGAAATCATTGATATTATTGATCTTTTCTGATCGATAGAACGGAAATGGGCGATTACGACGAAGTAGCGCTCTACCCTATGGCCTGCCAGACGAGATATGTTTTCGGGAGCTTCGATAGTTTGATGGTTTTGAATATTTCAGCCACCTTCCCTTTTCCTGTTGCGGTATAAACTCCTGTCCCGGAAGCTGCTTGAAATCCGTCTTCACATAAGTTTCGTCGTCCATGACGACACAGTCGAACTTTGTGAACGTATTCGTATACAGCTTTCGGGACCGCTGTTTTGCCGACGTGTTTTGTTTGTAATCTCGGTTCTCCATCTTCACCTTCTCAATCGTCGACAACCCGGCTCGTTTATTGACCTGCTGAACAGCAGTATGAGACATTGAGCTTGCCAGTGACGTCCCGGATGGAGAGGTTAGGACTTCGCTTATATTTCACCACCACCTTCTTCGTCGTCACTGCCACATCCGGATTACGATTGCCGCCGCTTCCAGGCTTCCTGGCGGTCGACATACGCTCCCCGAACACTTTTAAAACGTTTGTCACGATCGATTTGGCCACATCCAGCAATTTTGCCAACTTGGCGTGTGAGAACGTTGGATTCTCTTGCTGCGCGAGCAAAATTTTGACACGCTGCTCCTCTTGCTTGGACGTCATTTTGAAAACTGGAGAGCGAACCAACTTCCAAATGCAGAATTTTAGGCTTTTTGCATTTTTAACAGAAATACACCAATTTGAAGTTGACCAATTTTAGCGTGTTCCAGACTTCAGTGGTCTGGGATAAAACGCAATGTCTTTTCCCACAAGACTCAACTATATTCTTGCACTCGGGTGCACACCTTACAGACAGTATCGCTTTTCTTACAATCCACTGCCTCAAAGGGTTAAATTGCTGACCACTATCATACCAGAAACACGAAGCGGTAAAATTGAGCAACTGAGGCATGAAATAGCCCAGGTACAAAGCTTAATTTAGAGATCAGGACGTATTTAACATATTGTTGGCCCCATTTAACAACTGTCAGAATATTCTAGCAGTAAGAAAGAACTGGCCCCGTAACGTGGGTAGATCACATTTTCGTGGAACGTTACGGGATGTAAGATCTACCACCAATTCCTTGTCCTGACTACTTCAAACTAAGGGAACAGGATTTTTCAGCAATCAAAGGAATACATCTTAGTCCTTTTTACTTTTTCTGCCTTGTTGATAGTGACGATACTCGGCTTTGTCCCCGAGGATGATCTTGAAACAAGGAAAAAAGAGCTAGGTACATACTTAGAAAAAATCATGTAAATTTAGGTGCTCTGAGACTGACATATACGAGCGTCAATTTTAACATAAAATTGAGTCATAATAGACGCGAAATTCAGCTCAATCAAACGTTCTTTTCGTCGAGTAACGAACTTTTCAGTCTCGGAGCACTTAATTTTACAGTACATTTTTGTTTACGTCTCATCCTTTACGTCAAAGATGAATTCCGTCACGTGTAAAATAAGGTGTTTCTAACTGTGTAGTTACTTTTATCAACGTGATTCCTAATCTTTTATTCGCTGTTCTCTACTTTGAAGTGATTAAGACTAGGACCGTTGAACCGTTTTTAACTGAAAAAGGGGCGCGCCTTTGGTGGGTATTCCAACACTCCGAAGGGTATAAAGAGTGGGACCTTACAATTAGAGTAGGATCCTTGCGATAAACGCAAGAATGGCAACTGTATCAAAACCGAATACATCCTTATTTCTCAATCGTGATGGAGTAATTTGACATGCACTAAACTAAGGACACGGGGTCACTCCGGTGGCAGATTGGCTCGATTATCTGCCAATCTAAGACAGCTGATGCAAACATTGAGAAATTATGTTACGTCCACATAGATGTTTGATTTGTTGCACGGCGAAATAATCGTGATAAATGTTCAACAAGATCGGCGCTGGTGGTGTAATGGTAGGCGTGATTACCTCTCACGCCAGCAGGCCTGGGTTCAATCCCAGTCGGCGCCGCCGGGATGTTCTGAGGCATAACATCTCTGATCACTTAAGTAAAGCCGTTGGTCCCCAGTTCATGAGTTGATGGGTCGATGATAAGTAGGGTTCAGGTGTGGGAGCTGCCTCCCTGGCGTCGTTAGCATTGGTGCTCAGTACGAAAAACAAGATCGACGGAAAACAAATCAAGGAAATAAATTCAACAAGTGCGTGCATATGTAGGAATTAAATATGTATTTAAATTTTTAAATAAGACAAGTTAATCATGAAAAATTCAAGTTTCATTAATGATTATTCACATAAGATTACGCATACGTGTCGTCAATGCACATATAAACAAAGCATAAAAACTGTAGGCTGCAGAGCTGAAGTACTTTGCATTCTTTACATAAGTCTGCTATCTCAGCCGATATATTCTCACAGTACTGTACACCATTTACCGTCCGAAAAAAAAAAAATTTGGGTTACATCTTGACTAGATACTTGAGTGATAAATGAAAAAAATACAAGCAAAAATCAGAAACAACCCAATCCAAAATAAGGTTTTCAGGATAGATTCAGTCAAAGATACAACATCATATATTGGAATAATCTTTCTTTTTTATAATTTTCTTGATTTCATAAAAGTAATATTCCCTCGGTTAATATTAATTACTCATCATCCACACTGACAACATAATTTCGATTGCTCTTACCTCTTTAACCACACATTAGTCGAGAGCTAGTTTCTTTCACTACTTTCAATATCACTACTTCACAACTCACCGCATGCACCTGGATGGTAACTGGATCAAGCTTTTTTCGACGTTTATCTCTGAAACCTATTTCAAACGCTACTACCACCTAAACGTTATGGAAATATGATTGAAAATTGTATGTGTTCTACAAATCCATTGAAAATGATACATGCATTTCTACGAATTCAATCAGGTCTGAAGAGGGTGCCATATTATTCATGAAAGAAACGAAGGTTACCGAAGAGCAGAATGTAAGTAAAAAGTTGACAGCGTCCACATGCGATGGCTATAAATCAAAATCAAGACCAGTTGACGGATTCGAGCTGATCCGGTTGAGGGAAAAGGTAATTGGAAAACTTCACGGAAACCGGTTAGAGTACCGTGTGGTGGTGGGCTACACGAGCTACGGTGTAGTTTTTTTTTATGGTGGTGGGGTGAGAGTTGGTAGAACTATCAGAAAGGGAAAACAAACAATCAAGCCAGTTGCAATTCCGGTAAGTGTCCACCCGGATGGATTGGGTCTATTGAAATTCGGTATTCGAAAGCATTTCGGGCAAAGAATGGTAAAACAGAGGTTCGAGGGAATGGTAATCTACAGATAATAGTGGCATGCAATGAATTTCAAGTAGTATTAAGTGGAGAAGTGAAGAAGAGAAGGCAGTGTTAGGTTTGTGAGGGGAAAATGGAATCGGAACGAGCAAAAAAACTGTTGTTCGAACAAATCGAAATCGTATAAGAAGTATCATAGAACTAGGAATGAGAAGAGACTAACGAGAACGGGTGAATCCTCTGTCCTGTCCTGTCACCAGGATCCGACGAGAGCCAGGCAATTGGAGAGGGACAAACCGTCGCCGGGACTTACCATAAAGCAAGACGGTGCTTTTCAATTTAACATCTATAAAAAGACAGCGAATAAAGGATGAAAGAAAAAATACAATGAATTAGTCGATGTGATGGTTTGATTGGTCTGATGATTACATGTTTCATTTCTCAAAACGGGAGCTATGTGATATTTGTCGAATTGCATTTTTCCAGGGATGGTCATATGAAACTTAAAAACGCCATACAGCGGATGGTAATGGGAATGAGGAGAAATGATTGATAGGCATGCATAGCTGATCTTGCATGCTTCATCAAAGAAAGTGGAACTTAATTGGAAATTAAAGTGGTGTGTTGTGGTATGGTGTATTTGATGTTTAATGTTCCGATGAGACAATCAATTAGCATCCACTAAGTTGGTGTGCATAATACGATTCGTAACTTGAACTTTATAGATTGTTGATTTTCACTTACCCTATGTATTCTTTATATTGACGATCATATTGCATTATGTTTAACCTTCAGTGCTCAAATTAATGTTAATTCGATTGAAAATGTATGAACTGCTCGGGACTGCTCATTTTCAATTTAGGTGAGTATGCAGCACATAACTGCACCCTTATCTAGTGTAGAATTTGTCACCATACCAGACAGCATAACTTTTATTTTCTACTCTGTTGTAATAGTCAGTTTGCGTGTTTTCACTGAGCTGCATTTGGTTTTCGTGCCCGAGAAAATTATCTGCCAAAAACAAGCAGAGGACAGGTCTCATGCACCAAACGCCCCCAACCACCATGCGACAAACGTACCGTGGAAAATGAGTGCCGGAGATATTGTCATTTTCTACACCACTGTAACACGTAACGCGCAACAATACAATTGTGCACACGCTATCGTAGTCAGAGCATCTCACTGTTGTCGGAATCACCCGTAACGACAAGAGATACATTCGCGTTCCACTGAGTGCACATTTGTGCAGTTTCATAACTTTGCCACGCTTTTTAAGGTATTGTTGGAAAGGGGAGTACCGTGGTATAGAACGAGGATTTGCAGTGCCTTCAATGCAGAATGTATAGTTTTGAGATGATTAAAAGCCAATATTCGAAGTTTGCGAAAAATGTAATCCTTATCCAATTCCTAAGGAAAGTTGTAATAGGAATACCTTTAACCTTCAAAAACATATCAAATTGATGAAGTAATTTTTCCTACGTAGCGGACAACAGCATTTACATAACCGAAGACATCATATCAATTTTCCTATAAAATCAACTTCCTGGACAGTTTACAAGAAATGGCCACTGTTACGGTCAAACTGCAGTTTGACCGTAACAGTGGCCATTTCTTGTAAACTGTCCAGGAAGTTGATTTTATAGGAAAATTGATATGATGTCTTCGGTTATGTAAATGCTGTTGACAAATTGAGCGGACACCCAGAAAATTACAAGTTGCAAACAAGGTAAATAAAATGCGTTGAAACGGTAGAGGTATTCGATTTAAACCCTGCAGTAGACGCACCCTGTGTAAACGTTAAAATTGAAAATCAAAAGAAGCGAATAATCCGAGATCCAGCACTACACATTAAAAGGTGGAATTTCATGGTAACTGTGCTCTTATCCCTATATACTCACCAAACTGTGCACTATGTGTAATGTCATGCAATACCTAATGTATTCAGAAAGTCCTCTATCAACAGTTATAAAAGTGCTCAAATTTAAGGATAAGCCTACGTTTTTAGTCTGATCCTATAATATATAAGAAAAATAAGTAATCGATCTGAACTTACATTCTGCTTACAATCCAAAACATCGTTGCAGAACTTGGTTATTTATTGCACTTTCAAAGTAACATACACTTTAATTGAAGTGGTTCCACCAACCATTTATTTCGACACTCTTTTCCGACAGAAGCCCAAACAAGTGCTTCCACCGATATAAAAGCATTATACCAACACAAACCGATAAACAGCCATTTCAAGACACCCGCGTGTTTCCCCCCGGTTCCATTCCCTCCCAATAATCGACCAAAGACTTTGAAACCCCACGGAAAAAGCCAAAGTCAACGCGGGCGTGAACAGACCAAATGCGGAAATGGCAAAATTTATTTTATTTTCCCAATCCCAATAAATAGCATTCTTTATCTTCATTATGTGCCCTCTTAGCGCTATAGTGCAACCCGGAAAAGCAAGCTTAAAATGTGTGTACGACGAAGTCGTGAACCGGAACGAGTAACGGGCATACACCGTTGTTGCTATCGGAGGGGGATGCATTTTCCCTTTCCTACCCAATGATCGTTCACAATGGGGAAGGTAGTGTTGTTTCTGTACGGATCTACCGAACAAAGAATGCTCTCTATACTCATCCCACGGGAAATGCAGCGAATTGAAAACGAGACCGCACCGCCATTGTGAGCGGAACAACATCGCATCATCTGTGTAGGTTTTGGCTGTAAATAAGGCTATTCCGAGTTGTTTTGCTTTGTTTGCACTATGGTGAAACGAGATCCTCTTTCCTGTTCTGAGTAGTTTGCAAACTTGAACAACGAGAACAGAATACGTGCAGGGTACGCGCAAATGGTGATACCTACTAGTAGTGTGATACAGACAGATGCTCCATATTGGCATCATTGCTCTGAACAAAAACACTGTCGTTCTATGCCAAGAAAAATCAAACGGGGCGGAAATGAAAGTATGCATTTGTTTGTGGTCCCTTGAGTAGAATAAGAATGACATGTTCGATGTGCTTTCTAATGGTTTGAAGGTAGTTAGTATACCAAACGAAACGATGTGCTTTTCTTAGATTGCATAATACAAAGAAATAGGGTCAACTATCCCATTTCCGGCCTATTAAGCACAACCCACACTTAGCCTTTCTAAATCTAGCGCAGTTTAGCACCAAACGGAATGCTATTACTACTGATGGATTCCAAATGTATTTACCTTTCCGTACGTACCGTAGGATTTGATAAAGAGAAACCAATCGTTGAGATATTGTCAAAAGTCTAACACTGCTTCTTGATACCAAACTCGGCCTAACGCATTGAAACGCCATTGAAACGCCAATGAATTCACTTCGGCCTATCGGATGAAGATAAAAATTGATTCGGAGCGGTCGGAGCGCTTCTTTTGTTTTTTGGGAATTATGGGTACAAACTTTCATATCACGCGTTCTCATTTACTTCGTTCGGTAGCTTATTAACTAAAGTATCGTTTACATTGGTTGTATGAAACATATTCAGAGGTCAAATGAATGGGTAGGAATGTGTTGACGTGCAACTCGCTTTGATGGAAACCCAGAAATCCTCTACATTTCCACGAGGAATCACTGGGATGTTGGGTAAGAGGGTAGGGTTTGCAGCAGCATTCGTTTTGGTAAACGATAAGATGAATTGATGTCTTAACAATCTTAAAACGCGAACGAGCTTGAGCCCACGATCTGCTGCTCAGGAAGCCAAAACGTTTGCCACTATTGCAACTCCCCAATTGTGACCGAGTTGTTGTTTTTACCATGTAGTGCCATATTAACTTTAGGGCGGTCGTGGGATAAAGCCATCTCCAAGTGATATGTTTTAAGAAATTGATCGTTGGCTAGTTTTATATTTGTATGGCACACGAAAGCTTTGAAAACTTGAAACAACAAATCATACATGATGGTAACATGAAAAGAAAAATAATAACTCAAATAGACTGTCAGAAAAACTTGGCCAAAATCTCTAAAGCCATGGGCATATTTTCAACAGCTTTACGGTTTTCAAGAAAGTGGCTCGGTTTACAAAGCACCAACTTTTAAAGGTTTCTGTTTGGTTTTTGTTCCCACTGCCTAGAATGCACTCGATTTTATATTTTAAATAGAGCTCCTAAGGAGAGGGTTTTTTGGGCAAAGTTGTGCATTTTATAATCTTAAGATATGCTGCCCAAGACATCAAAGACCTACGATTTGCAAGAAGCAGGCTAACATAATAAAAAATATCACATCAAAGGCGTTTTCACCATTTTTAACGTTTAAAGGTGAGAGTCTAGGATTGCGATACTTTGGGGATGGAATAAGATGGAGCAACCAGATGGAAGTAAACCCACGGAGCATTTTGCAATAATATATTAGTAATCCGTTTCTTGCGACTCTTGAATCACGAACCACTCACTTTGGTGCAGATTGTGATTTGCATTGAACATATGTCCGATGATAATATCGAGGTTTTAGGGCTTGGGTCAACAATATTCAAATTTTGTTATTGTTATTTTTACGGCATACAAACTCGCGAGTTTAGAAAAGCTTAACGATTTTGCTAATACCGCTTTCGTTAATATCGCTTTCAAGTTTTGATTTCAGTGCAAAATGAAAACAATTTCATAAGACTGAATATTCCATTCGAATGCCACTCACAAATTATGACGACGAAATTTCAAACTAAATGTGACGTCTAGTTTTGACGCTGTTAACGCAGTGACCTAATTTGTCAACGTTTAATTTTAGGTCCCTGGGCGGTAAAGGTTATTTTTTATGTTCACCTTGCAACGTCGGTACACTGACTTGAATACAACTCACTAGGCTACGGCAACGGTTCACTGGCACTGGATTCTGGTTCGATGTTAAGAAATAACGTGTTGATTGACTGTTTGAAAGATATATTTCACTTTGGGAGATAGTTTGTAAACTGATTTTATATTGTAGTAGTAAAATTCTTCTTTATTTTGATTTGTTATGTGGTTTACAATTGGTAAAACATGGTAAAAGGTTAGCCAGAAGGGCTCTTCATCTTTGGTGAACTTTTTGATAGTGTGTTGTACATGTTGTTTTTTACTGTGTAATGTTTTTCAATTTTCATCTTGTGAAGTATGTTGATTTTATATTGCTATCCTGGTCCGTTTTTATATCATTTCCCTCCTCATGGGTTCATATGGAAGCATTTGTGGTTTTTTAAGCTATTGTACAAATTAAGTTGTTTTTCAACCATCATTTGCCCCCTAATTTAAACACAACTATAATCCATTTACATGTGCTCTTCTTCAACTGCCAATTTAATGCACACATCTAAACTTGTCTTTTTTCCTTTTCTACTAACTTGTACGCAAGTTTTGAG